CCAAACTTGATCCCGGCTTACTAGCTTTTGATAAACCACTCAAACTTAACACAGTAAGTCAGTGTCTGACATGGTTGCTCAAGTGTTCATCCATTTTTCGTACTTGTTAAAGGGATTACATACGTTTTACCACCATGCGACGTGACATCTTCAGTTCTGTGATATGCCTGACGAGGTTTCAAAATTGTGTACTTGGATTTCTCTGAAGCGAAAATTGTCTGGCCTAACACATACATAGTAACCAAATTCAGAGGTAAGAAATTAGTGGCTTGATCTTAATTTGGAGGAGAATTCCAAATTTAACTTCAGTAGCATATAGCTGCAGGCAAGTTCATCTGCAATCCAATTAAAGCGGAGCGTGGTGTTTTTCATATATTGGTACTAGCACCACATATATTCATGGCCCTCACAAAAGTTCCTGCGAAAAGCCACATTTGAAGATGCCATGATCTAACACAATCATCTGAAGACCAGCCGCCGGTCACCTTATGGAGATACAAGGGGCTGAGCAAAACTCATACTGGTACACCTAAATACCGTCTAAAACTGTATCAGCTGCAGGATGGCAAACTTGAAATAATCGCACCGTCCAACTTTGAAGCAGCCACAAGGAAAAGGCAGCAAGAATAGCCGGACAGCGTCTTGACCCTTTACAAAATGCGTTCAAAAATTTCAGGCGGTCCTTCTTTCCACAAATGCCTTAAGTCTACTTGAGCCCAAGCCTGAAATAAGTGATGCGAATTGGCGGGAGCATATTGCTGATGCAGTTGCAGCGTATCGTCACGAAAATCGTAAAATGACTAACTTGCCTTCCATGTCAAATCAGCATGCAAGCCGTATAATTGAGAAGGGGCAGATATCCTCCAATACAAGATGAATCACAAGTTGTACAAATTACTAACCAGCCCCAATCACGCCTGTTGAGATTAGTTTCAAGGTAGCCAAAATAAAATGTTGCTCTGCTAGCAGCTTAGATTCTTCAAAATCTACGGTCGACATTATTACTAGAAATATGTTGTTTGCATTCGGGTATGCGGAAACTAAATGTGTGTTTCCATCTTACTTTATATTTGTCTAGTAATTAGCTCCTCCATAAAATGAGTAGACGTCATTCCCTTCCGCGCACTGTATGTCAAAAGTAACCAGACAAAGTAAAGCGAATGACGTGCTCACCAACACGCTCCACTATGTAGAAGGCATGAGACCGACATAAGTGTGCAAGCAAATAAATCAGTGAGTCAAGTTAAAATCTAACTTTACTTTCTCCTGTCATTTTTACCATTTATATGATTCCCACCTCAATCGTGCCACAGTTAGTTCAAGCAGTCTCATACTTGCCGGTGAGGGATAATTTATCACCGTTTATTAACTTGCGAATTGATGACGTTAAGCTTAGGATAAGTAGGAACACCATATTCCTTGCCGGTCGAATATTACACATCTGGCAACACTGCCAGGGTGGCAGATATTTGTAGGACGAAGTGAAGCACTTGATAGTGCGTAAGCGCTGTGGCCGTCAATTGCGTGCTTAATTCCAACGGGAATATATTACACTGCTTTTGCTTACGTGTTGGTAGGAACGAAACATTTGACTAATATTTGGTCAGCTGTATCTTAAGCAGAAGGAAGGAACGTAGGTTTGTTTGATGGAAGTCGACGCTTTTCGTATTGTATATACCGAGGCTAATATCTTTACTGAAAACATTGTAGGTAGGCCTTCTCTTATATTCTTGAAAAATAGGAGCACTTGTACAATTAAAGAACCTAGCAATCTAAGCAGCGCTTTATTACGCTTGTTGTTATATCAAATTGTTTGGGGTGTAAAGCATAGAAAGAAAATGGAAAGTAACTTAGCCGTAGGGCAATTTTATCACATTATCCAACTAACCAAGGAACTTGACACCTATCGTTTTTGGTTGGAGAAATTAGTACCTTTTTGGATGAAACGTTGCCACTAACCGCATGTTGCTACGAGATTCGCGGTGCACAAACTCGTGATGATCGTACTAAAGGAATGTAATGGCATCAATTGCACTGCTGATCCTACGTCATTGCTGCAACCCAAGTAGCGGAGCATTTGTGTCCTGCTTTCGACGGAAGCAAAAGATAAAATTTACTCGTCCAATTATTGCGTCTCCCATGTGCCCAAACTCCGTATATCACAACCCTCTTAGTTTTAGACAAGCAGCAAACATTGCACTCACAACCGACAGGTAATGCTCAACTGTGTTTGTACATGCACATTGCAGCAGGTTTCCTACTGTTTTTGTTTGTATAAAACAGTTGCGTACAAAGTATAAGGGATAACATGCTGCTTGATTTGTAGTTTAAATCTTACCGCCTTGACAGAAGTAAAATAATTTTGGTGTGGTTCAGTTTAATGTGCTGACAACCAGTAAGCCTCCCATTAGGCTTATATACATTAGTGGTTATAGTTAATACCTGCTTAGTGTAGGCGGAGTTATTAAACTAGACCGCAGGTGTCAACTGAAACTTGACAATAGTTTAATTTGACGTTAATACTTTGAATTTTTGGTAACCAAATACATTGCATTCCGAATGGTAACGCGCTTTCAAATCACCACTCAGGCAAGCGCTTGCCACTTCTGTTCCCGAAATAACTAGTGCACTCAATTACGGTAGTGTTGCAACTTAACCCTAGTAAACCTAACCAGTCTCCAAATGTGTGCCGAAAGTAAGCCTAAATTACTGATAACTACCGATCGGTATAAATCAGCTAAAGCCTGGTGCAAAAATAACATGTGTACATGTCTGTAAAGCAAAATGGAACATACATTGAACGCTATGATCGATTTGCTCTAGTTCGACAATTTGTATCTTGCACATGAGTGCTGGCAGATCTAACTACTTGTAGCCATCAATGGAATTAATTGATAAACCTCTCGTCCACCCCATATTAAACTAAGTACAGGAAACGTAAGTCAATATCCTCAATGGTCCTTTTAAACGCCTCAGCGTACCCAAAACTATCGAAATTGATATAAAACCGCCGTCTGATTTATAATGGTACATGGTACGGCCGACTAAATACAGAGCTAGTAAAACCCTTAATGTTTGCGAGATTTCTGCCAATGTTATTGCTTACAGTAAACCGCTGTTTGTAGTTCTGAAGTAGTAGTAAACACATATTTAATAAACCAAGCCTGATGAATAAGTGCGTTTTGATACGGCAATTTTTCGGCACCTACGCTCGTGGTGAGTGCAAAGAGGCGCTGGTTACCTGTGCAACATATACAGCTTTGTTTGCCATTAGCAGTAGTTTGTCCAGCATTTCTTTCCAATACCAAAGCACGTATTGCGGCCGTAAGCCGGACTTTGCGTTTAAGCTTAACCAAAGTATGCTTAAAAACGTTGAAAATATAAACATTAAATTCGCAAAACCTTGGGCATATACAGTTCTCACATAATATAGTTATAAATAATTTTAAGTCTTGGTAAACTTTGACTCAAAATGCTAGAGATCTCGGACAATCTTTTGGAATCTAAGGTTTAGAAAATGTACATCAAAATACTGCTTGGACAGCTGCACTGCTTTTGCTTTATTCATATATTCTGCCAAAGTTTTCCAAATTTATAGCACTTGACCATTCAACCAAAGAGGACAGACAACACGCTTCAGTGCTACAATAGCTAGGTTTTGTCTGTGACCGTTCATGATAAAACATTTTGCATTAAATGCAATGGTTTTGCGTGGTTAAGTAACCCAGATATAGTAAACAGTATAACATGATAAGGTCAACTTGTACCCGACAATAGGTCTGTGTGTAGATATCCCGCCTCTCGCATCCGTCCTCAAAACTTTGCTACGCAAACTGGTGTCAGCCAGTTAAATACAGTTTAGTCCCGATCACTTTCTAAATACTGTTGCAAGGGAACCACATGGCCAGCTTAGAAAACGTGCAAGGAAATGGGTCCATGATCCTCAAACTGCACTGGTGTTATCGCTGATTCGGCGTATCCTTAAGGAGGGACATCTACGATTTACTTGCACTCAGGTATGCATAGCAACTACACTGGTAAAAGTGCGGCACCCTCGAGGCGTTTACAGAAGATACAAAGCATTTTTGATTAAGCAAACGGATGTGTGGTGCAAAAAGGGCACATTATAAATGTTAAACAATACTTTCACTTTGTTACATTATATTTACTTGAACGTTTCCCCAATTTTGTTATAAGCTGCAGGCCGATGGCAAACATCAAAAAGTAATCGTTAAATGGCTTCAATCAATATAAAACCTTAAAGTACAGCATTTTACACTAAGAAATGCTGTACTTTTTTCGTTTTACCTAGTAGCCGGCTGGTAGCTTACCGGAAAGATGCCTATCCGTTGCTGGTAGTTCCGCTGTCATGCAACTTTTGTATTTATTTTCCTTTTTTATTTATGTATTGCGGCACAGTTGCTTGGGTGTATCCTACCTATAGCTGAGGTGTATAATGATGCTGATGATGAAAGTACAGCATTTTAAAGGCAAGAATATGACTTTGATAGTCCACAGGTTTCGACTAAGGAAAAAAGGGAAAACAGCACACTGTCTCATCTTTACAAGACAAGCTACACTGGCCGCATACGGCAAGGCGTGTGCCGACACAGGTCTGAGGGCATTGCCAAGTGTGGGAAAATGGTGTGAGGAGCAACACTTGTACCAATTCAAACGTGGAGCATTTCTCCTTATCGAAAGGTAGGAAGTCACTGAAACAACAATGCAGCACGGTTATAATTGAAGTCGAAATCGATTTGAGTTACACAATGATGTACCGCCTGAGCGAATTCCAAGATTTAAACGAGGCGAGTGCCTCACAGTGCAACAGTCAACGTACAAGTTCTATCCGTGGTAAATGTCTGAGACTTCGGGATGCAACACCACGATCCTAATGTCGAAGCAATAGGACCACATTTTAAGAACATCGTCCCAATGACGTAACCGAGAACCAAACGGCATAAGGCAAGTACAACGGCTGGAGGGCTCTCCCAACCTACCGATTTCATTGACTCCGTACCCGAATCCCTTGGAATCGGTGCCGAGAAGGAGACTCGCATCGTTGGTTGACCAACCGAGCCGCAACGCGCCCTCCTCCATCACGACAACCTCGTAGAAATAGGCGCCTGGCCACTTTAATCCCCGGTTGGTTCGACAGCCCTGTGAGACAACAGCAGAAGAAATTCTTCGTAGTGGCTGGGATTCCACGTATGCAAACTCATAAGAAAGGAACACAGGTTATGCTTTATTTTTTAGGTAAACTAGTTGCAACTAAAGTGCACAAAATGCGACTAAAGCGATCTGCCTGTGAACTCGAACTTAGACGTGCTGCTGTATCTCGCCCTGTTCAGTAAAGAGAGAAAATCCCCTCTTTTTGAATTAGCGCATGGTACAGCTCTTTGGAAAGGGAGACGCAAAGAACAGAGGATTCGCAAGATGCATGCGAACCTGCAGACATGAAGAAAAAATATCGGAACGCAACTAGCACTGAGCCGTGTGGAACAGTTGCCAGATGGAGGCTTGGGATGAAAATGGACTCATAGCTCAGCACCAGTGGCTCAACATTCGCGGAGTGCAAAATCTCATCGCCCATCTGGAGGAAAAACCCGAAGAGTATTGTCTTTCTATGTTAGAGAGGCGAAAAAATGCAGGTATATTTGTCTAAGCGTCAATAACTACAGACTTGAGTGTTTTTTAGTGATTCATTGGCATTGGTTTTATCATATTATTTCGGTGTTGTTTGGTGGGATCACAATTCGAACTTGACACTAAACACTGTCATTTCCGTTCTTTTATGCAACTGGTTGGTTCCTTATCATATTCGATCCGTACTGGCTTTGTTAGTTGGGAAGCTTTCAGCGCACTGATTGGCCCAAGCACCAGACTGTGTAATGATGTCGTTTCTCTATGAAAAGAACCCTGAATGTTGTTTCTGTGCGTTCGTGTTCTCCCTATCATTAGTGGATGGAGGCACTTACAGTGCCTGAGACAGCAATTTTTGGATCTCTACTACCTCCTCAGAAGGCAACAATTTTGTCAAGCCGAAGACGTTTCTGGTGGTATGGCTACCCGGGTGTTTCGGTGTTGAGCCTCAGATTTTGTTGGTTTTGGAAGGTCGATGACTAGGTTTTGCGATTCGCAGTTGACCGGTTGACACCCGAAAGGTGCCCACTCTCGAAAGTAGACTACCTGGTGTCGCAGAAGGGGATGAAGCCGATGATAACGAGAAAGAAAATAACGCCCTATTACTTTACCTAGATGATCAGTGATGCACCACTTCAACTATCATCCACGTTCCCGAAATTCGGACCAAGGCGCTAGGAAGATACCTCTACAAACTGGTGACAACCAACTTCCGTATTCCAAAAAACGCCCAGCATCGGACACCACAATGCATAAGAACAAATCGAAGGTGCTTCATTGGGGCGCCATGAATGCCAAGTTAGACCTCAAGAAGCTCAAGATCAACCCGTTTCAGACATGACTGCCTCTATGCTGCCTTGGCACCGACCACCAGAGTAAGTACTAAATGATCATGCGGTTGTTCCGAGATTCGACCGCAGCAGAAATGCTGTAAGGTCAAACCAAGAAGCAAGGTAACAAACAATAATGGATGAAAAAGATAGTTACATTTTACATAATGAAATCTCACAAAGTTGTTCCTTCTGAAACCCCGGATGTACTCAAATTTGCCACCGTGAATAAATTATACCAGTTACTTCCAATATTGAAAATTTACATGAAAACAGTAACCAGAATAGTGAGCTGCGGGATGGGACCGCAAACATCATCAGTGTATATATTCTTCCAGATATGATCTGGAAGCACATCGAATTGAACGACACAAGGAGAAAACGCGCGTTTTTCAAACTCCGTATCGATATGCGTGTGGACATGTTACTCGGCTAACCAAGGGGTGATCCTGATTGGTTGCTCGATTGGCAGAACCAACCAACTCGCACTCCTAGGCTATCGGTCGTATAGGGTCGTCGTCTGGCTTTTCCGATTAGCTACATCTTTAAAGGTAATCACAAAACAGTGCACTATCCGTATATCGTGTCTCGCTCATGACGTTATCATACTGAACACGATAAAAATTGAAAACGTGAGCCGATAGTGCTTTGGCATCAGTACCCTTTATGCATATTGGGCAAATACCGGAATCTAATTATCTCGACTAAAAGGAAGGCGCTAAGAATGCGGCGGTAGATCAGTCGCAGATAGGTCTACTATACTGAATACTAATAATAGAGAGCTAGTAGCTTTGTATATGTGTTGCTCCATCCATGTAGTAGGGGGCATGCACGCGGAATAACGTCACTTATTATCGCGCACTTCAACGCAGTTCGGCTTTGAGACAAAATCCTAATCAGATGCGATGCACCCTCAAAACCTGTAGTCCGCAGAGGGATCGCGTATGTATAATTTGGATTTTGATTGCTATTTCACCTTAAGCACTGTCGCAAGCAAATGTTTCAATAGTTCACCACTTGAAGCATATAGGGTTGGCTATCCACTTCCGATCTGGTATCGTAAGCTGCTACAGACGCCAGCAAGTGCTGCTTGCTGCGCGTGCCTACAGAAGCGTGCAAGAGGAATCCCCAAAATTCCCTACAGGGCAAGTATGAATGAATAAAAGCTAGGTGTCTCACACCCAAATCTGCACCTGATCTACTTCGCGCTTTTGCGCCTTTAAATTTCGATTCCGAATTCGGCTACTTCTAATTGAGTAGTGCAAACGAGCGCGAATATTTTCGTGAAGTGCAGGGCTGAAAACGAGTAGTATATACCATTTATCTGCTTCACGTACGGTTTCAACCACCAGAAGGACAGGGTTCACTGCATAGTGAATAACGGTACGTAGTATGTGTGTGTCCCGAGTCATAAGCAAGGAGTATCCAAAAGCAGACCGGCAACGAGTACGGATTTTGTGTTACAGGAGCGATATCAAATGCGTGGCTGTGAAAGCTTTGCCAGATGCACACAGACGATGGTGAAGCATCAAAAAATGAAATCGTGTCTCGGTACGGGCGGGAGGAAGCACGAGATATTAAAGGGGTGGTTGAACTTATCCTGTCAGGCGTCACCAGCCACACTGACTACAGAGCGTTTCGAGTGTAAATCTCACAGCGCAGAATGATGCAGAGCTACAGAGGTTATATTCGTAATGCACGGATGAGTTAGGTTGCGAAGGGCTATCCACACTGTTATACAAAGTTTTGCACGATTTGGACTACACCAAAAGGTTTCCATAACAATGGTGCCTATTGGAGAGTTTTACAAGAACTAGACAGTTGCACTCCGCAAGATCAATGCTACCAATCGCATCTAGTGCTTCCGACAGGTAACGAAAAACTGTCGTCGTTGGTGGATCCGGGACTTACTCTTGTTGAGGATGACAACGGATGGGAATTCGAGCCGAAATGTGTTTATGCCTTACTCCTAGGTATGCTGATGTGATCTACATTACGCTAACATAGAGGTAAGGTAGCCCGGAACAGCTAGCCAACATAACAAATCGATTGCACAATAAGCACCAACCTGCCAATCGGTGTCAGCCATGGCGGCCACATCGGTTCCGTCAATATTCATCCCTAGGCAAGGTGTGCAGTCCGCAGGGGACATTCGCCAGTACTCCTGCGCCAACGGGGCGCGAATCGGCCCAGGTTTCCGATAGGCTGGAGGCATGCTTTGTAGCAAAGTGACATCGACGGAGTCCGCTGGCAAAGGAGCCGGGGACCCAGGTATGATGTAGAACTGATCGGGATCCGCGTTAGAAACCACAGGAGCAACGCCTGAAGATGCTGTAAGAACAACAACAGGGGTTCAGTTGGGCAATTTGGTAATTTTCAACCTGAGCAGGGATTGTGACTTGGACGGAACGGAGAAATTCGTAACAGAACCAACGTAGAAGGTGGTGACCAGCCCATGTGGTGGAATGCAAAGAGGAGGTGCGTGGTTGTAGGTTAAGTTATGGAAAAGAGATCAAATAGCAGAATAGGGTTTACAATTACACCTTTCGGTAAAGTGTTACGTAGTGTTAGAGGTTAGCCGACCCAGTTCACGAGTGACAGATAACAGCCTTCCTGACTACAATTGGAATCTCGGTACTGTGTAAACTCAATGTCAGTGTGAGAAAGTTGGCAGCCTGGACTACTGCAAGTTGCTAGATGAACGAATGGCAGAACGGAATGAAACGATTTCCCGATTACTGGTATTTACTAGTAGTTTGCCAAATATATCGCGTTTCGCCCAGCAAATTCTGGCATAAATTGGCATCTTTCAGGTTCAACAGTGTTCAACAGCGTTCGCTCCCATTCGTTTCATGTTGTTCGTTGGTCGTCAACATCCGGGCGAACGGAATTTCTAGAGATTTCAGATGTCAACAATCTCGCTATTTTTGCAAAATAGGAAACCACCCAGCTATTAGTAGATAACGGATTCACTGCTCTACATATCAATTTTTGGGTTCGTTCTGTTTGATTTATTTTCCAGCAGGCGACATGCTGATTTACTCTACTACGAATAACCCTTTATTGTGGATTCATCTTTTTGAAAACAAAGACCTATGACAATATTTTAGTAGCTTAGTGAGATTTTTACTATTTTATTTTCATCTTGATCCAACTGGCAAGGCCTTAAGTGAGCTATTTCTATAGGCAAATAAACATTTATACTTAACGTCTAACCACAGTCCCACTGCTTTCAATCATGCTTTGTTTTACTTCATCACAACCAACAGCACCGTTTAAACACTTTCTATAGACACCATTGCTCGGTCACCTTGGTCGCATCAGTGCACTTTATTCCGTCGTTAGTAAGCGCATTTGCGATTCATGCACTTGTTGATGCATTTTGGAGACCAAATGGAATTTTGACTTGTTTCCCAAATTGGATTGTCTATTTAATGACATGATACCCCTGGTCCCACACAGAAGTTTACTTATGTGGACTCTGAACACCTACATTATTGAAACCTTTATTGTTTTTAACTGTGAACCATTAGCATATCCTTGACTCATTAAGGTCAACTATTTTACAAATGATAAACTACCGATTAACAAACAGACGCCGCAACATTTCCGCACGCTGCTGCGTGATTTCCCGTATCTGCCCTTTTTCATTACGATTGCGAAAATATTCGTCCTTTGGCTATCGTTACTTCAAATAACAGAACGACGGTTACAGGGATTTAAGGGGAGGCCGAGCTATATTGTAATCAATTGTCAAGCATACAGGTCCACCACCGCCACCTATGGTTTAGCGGAACAAGCTGCCGGCATCGGGAACTCAGGGGGTCGGAACCCAACAGGTGTCCAGGGATCGCGCATCACTGCCGAAACCTCGACGATCGAAACGGTTGTCTGGCGCTTTTCCAAACGTGCATGAATCTGCCTGACTGAGAGGGGACTACGACCAACTACAGCTACACTTGCTCCAAAATCCCCACCACTTATTAATGTCTTAGTCTTAGTTCCCCGGCCCAGACCGTGTTTGAAGTCTATGTTCGTCATTCCCGTCTAGTGCGGTTTACTTAGTATACTGAATACAGAAAATAGAGAGCAAGAAGATAAACATCCGTGTTGTTCCATCGTAGGCGGATCCGCCATATGCGCGGAATCACGGCACTAATTCCCGCGAGTTGGCAACATAGTGCACCTGCACTACATCTTATCCGGGTGCGATACGCTCCGTATACCTGCAGTGCGCAAAGTGGCCGTCAAGGAACCTCTTAAATTCCGACACCGATTTCGCCTCGATTAGCGTCTCCGGCAACTTGTTCCAATACTTCACCACTCGACGCTCGAAGCATAGAGGGTGAGCGATGCGCTTTAGATCCGGTACCACTACTTTGTACCGGTGTCCGCGTGTGCTGCTTTGTGCGGATCGCATCGTCGTTACTCCCCCTACGGTGTACGCACAACCCTGGAATATGCGGCCAGCCTGCCGGTTAGCTTAACTCTTGCACCGTTCGGCATTCACCGTTGCAGAGTGATTGGCCGTACAAGGGCCAGAGTGCATCTCGATGAACAAGAAATGAATAAAAATTAAACTGCACTTGCTACAATGTCTGTGAATGTCGTAATCTTAATAACTATCTCAATGCAGCAGCATTTGCTGCTGGGCGCTTAGTTTGATGTGACCTGGCCAGTGAGCAAACGAAATCAGAGAAATGTGACGTTCAGAGAGTCCCAAACAGGTGAGGCAAGTACGTCCGTACAGTGGGACTCCGCGGTATGATTAGGGATACCACACAATCGCTGGAAAGTGTGAACCAAGTTGAAACCATAAGCAAATAATTATGTGCCATCTTTGTCGCAGTAAATGGAGCGGAATGACGTCAGGCATCGGAGACACTTAATAGAGCAGCAACCACTGAGCATTTTATTTGCTCAACCAAGTCAATCAATGGCTACGTCTGTAAAACTCCAAACATTGTGCCCACAAGCGTTGGGCAGAGAGATAGATGGTAAGCACGCAAGCATCAAACCTGACCTGTGTCCACGCAGCTCTTTAAAATGCGTCTGGTGTGGCCTCCAGGTCGGAATGCTTGTTTAAATTTGTTTGGTGCCGAGCTATCTGTGGGCTAATGGCTGATTATGACGAAAGGAGGCTTTCTGATCGATGCTGCCTTATCTCCGTACGAAAGCCAGTTATTTGTAACGCCATGCTGTTGACATGGTGAAGACGCCTCGACTGTGAATGTTTGCCTCGGGCACAAAGTTTGTACGCTGGATCCCCTTCTCTCTCATATACTTCTTTGTTCCGTAGGTGTTGTAACGCCGACCTCACCTTTGCTCGCTGAGTAACTGCTATGCGCAGCCGGAAACGAAAACAGAACACCCAAACGTGCAATACCGAAGTATAGTAGACACAGAACACGGTTCAGTTTGTGGGCCACAATCTCCTGTGATGACTCAAGCCACTTGCCCTGGACAGATTTCAGTCCTGCTTGCGCCCTGTCACGTAACAACCTGTTTCATTTTGACGGTTTAATATCCTCACCTTCCCGCCTGCTTTAGCCGTGTTACCGCCTTTCGGGTAGCAACTTGGGTGGTGACGAATGGCTTTCATCAATTCCCGGCGTGACTCAGCCCTAGTATGGCCGGTCGGGTAGCAACTCGCGTCCCGATGATGGGCACTTAGACACCGTGACACATCCTTACGCTACAGCCTCCGAATACCACTTTTTCGAATTGAGTCTGCTTGCTTACTGTTCCGACTCGCTTTTATTCATAACTTGTCGTCTTGTGGTCAACTTGTAGCCACTGTGCTTGAACTGTTCGTCCCTCGCCTGAATGGACGCTTGATACCCAATCAAACCCGAAGTCCCTGCCCCCCCCCCCAGATGACAGAGAGAAGACCGGATCGGACGAGCAGAGCAACAGAAATGTATTAGCAAATCACATCGTCCATTATAAAGGTGAAATGGAAAGTTCGTGAATGGCATTTAAAGCGAAAGTGGAAAGCTCTGGAATGGTCAACTTACAGCCAATAAAGGAACGCCACCCTCGCGTTAATTGGCCGCTTCTCCTGGTTGACTCTCTATTCGCCCCAATCAGGGCGGATGCGTTTGGATCGCCTGCCGCGGCGATGGGGTCCTGGCTTGTTCGCGTCGCGTATTCCTTCCTCACAGTGCTCGTCTCCACTTTTACGTCGGCCTGCATTGTATATCATCTGATGCTTGCAGGTTCTGTTGTGATCCATGTAGCCGCTCAGCTTACTCCTCCAAACCAAACTTGTCTAGCAGAAAGTCCCACGGTAAGGATGGTGCTTCCGAGGAACTTTGAGTCTTTCCGTGACTCGGTCTCAGTTGATTGACGTGCCAGACCCATTCTCATTTCCTACTATTAGCTCGTAATTCGCACAGCCCTTTCTGCGGATCACTCTTTCTGTTGACCACCTCCTCGGCCCACGGAAGTCTCTCATGAACATCATGTCACCAATTTTGAAATGAGGAAGCCTGTCTGTCAGATTTTCTTTCTTTCTTCTCTGCTTGGAACAAGGTTATCGAACAATGTCCAAATCTTTCGTCCAAATAAAATTCCGACAGGGGCTCTTCCATCCAAGGCATTTGAGTTTGGCGTCTTCCGATACATTCACAAGAAAGAATGGATCGCGTGCTTCGGGACCTAGTTCTGTCCCGCTTTACAAAGAGCATGTTTGTAGGTATCCACGAACCATTCCGCCTGTCCTTTTGATTGCGGAAAATAGGGCGGTGAGAACATCTGCTGAATCCTTCTCCTTGCATCACACGCGAAAGAAAGTTGAAGCGAATTGTATACCGTTGTCTGTCCCTATCATCTCTGGCAGGCCGAAATATTGGAACAGCTTATCCAGCTCGTTGATCGTGTACTGGGAAGTCATACTTTGCATAGGGATCACTTCCGGCCACTTGGAGAAAGAGTCCACCAAAACAAGATAGGATTGACCGACCTGTGGTCCTGCATAATCTAATTGGATTCGCTGCCATGGCTTCTCTGCTTTGGGCCAAGGTTGACAGGGACATTTGGGTAGGGCATTCGCCGCCAGCTGACGGGATTCACACCTTTGGCAGAATCGTTTGATTTCTGGATTCACGCTAGGCCAATAAACAAAACAGCGTGTCAACGCTGTCATACGGCTGGTTACCTGGATGCCCAATATGAAACTACTGTAAGACTTACCTGTTCAATTTCTTTGGCACCACTACCCGGTCTCCAAACAATTGTCCACAACGGACAGTGACCCACGTCTGTTGAAGAAAGGCCGCATGTCAGCAGGGATACAGATTTTTGGCTAATCTGCTTGCACTTAATGCATC